AATTATAAATAATTACAAAATTTTTATTATGTATTGCAGGAAAAAAAAGATTGGGAGGACTCCCTATTTTTTTGAGATTTCTAATTATACACATGTTAAGAAGAAAGATGGTGAGTAGGTGTGGGTCGACCAGCGATCAGAGAAGACTTATGTAAGTAAATTTTATTTAACATCTTTATTAAAATTTATATAAGTATACTTATATTATTTATTAACTTTTTATAATTAATATCTTTAATTATTAAACTTATTTTATTATATACTTTATATATGTAGGTTGACTTTCAGGTTGCCTGATCCTCCCAGTCGACATCTGAGAAGACGTTTACTCCAGAGTCTCAGCAGATAATGGACACTCAGCTGTGAGAGAGGTGCACTGGGGGGAGAGCCTTCGGCCGTGTATACGGTCTTGAACAACAGAGTTCTTCTCAATCAATCTACTATTCTCCATCCAACAATGCGGATCAGTTTATGAGATTGGAGGTGCAAACTCTCCATCAAGAGAATTAGGAGTTTTTGGAGAAGGGTGAGGAGCATGAAGCTTGCCATTCATTACTTGATTAAGGTGGTTGAAGGGATGAGGAGTACACCAGTTGATTAGCCATTCCCACCGGCGCCTGCTCACGATTCTGACTCTTTTGCATCTCAGTCGGGCGATGATAGTTGCTGGGAGTGATCTTTCTTTGAGATTTTGTTTTAGATATATATTTAGTGACACACTATTTTATGTTTGTAATAAGATATTTGAATATTATTTATACACATGTTATTTCAGTTTTATGTAAATGTCTTAAATAAATTATCATAAAATATATATTTCAAAAATTTTTAAAATTAATATTAAAAGTTAAATAATAATTTAATAATTAATAATAAAAAAGAATTTAATAATTAATAATAAAAAAGAATTTAATAATTAATAATACTAAAAATAATTTAATAATAAAAAATAATAAAAAAATAATATTTAATAATAAAACAATTTAATATTTAATAATTAAGAATAAATTCCGACGCAAATGTTGCATCGGAAATTTCCAATGTAGTATTTGTGTCGGTAATATTTCGACACAATTTATGACCCAATATTTGTCAGAAATTTTCGATGTAAAATTTTTTGCATTGGTAAATTTTTTCCAACAGGCAATTTTCTGACGAATACTTTTGCGTCGATAAAATTATTACCGATGTAAAATTCTGTCTTACCGACCTTTTTTTTGCATTAATAATTCGCATATTTCTTGTTGTGAGAGAAAAAATATTTTTTTATCATAAAAAATATAATTAACTGTCATTTAAATAAAGTTAGAGGAAGGGGTGTATTTTTTGTCCTAAAAAAATTGGAGTGTTTTTATCCTAAACAATAAGTATTTCCGGTACTCTTTTTTTTTTTTGGGTATTTGACGTGTTTAGTTAAACTTATAATGATAAGCAAAAAGAAAAAAATTATTTGAAAAACCCTTTTTTATAAGATAATTTAAACAATTATTTGATAAATCTCAAGTTTTTTTAATTGGCTAAACACACTCCCCATGCAGACGGACGTAGAAACACCCAAATATATCTACAATTGGTATAAAAAAAAGGACGGTGTATGCACCCCCCAAGTTGAGATAAAGTAATAAATTTTTTAGTATACCACAACTAGAATGGCCTACATTTAATAAGCTCAAGACTGATGCTTGCCTATTTCGGGATTTATGGCAATCCACTATCTACGAATGCCATTAAGTATGCATAATCTACTCTAGTCTTATGAATTTCTTTCCTCCCTTTATTCCATATGAATTATAAACTATGGAAAAATGAGATCTTTTAGGATTAAATTAATAAAAATCTATCTAATCCCATGAAAGTAACTAATAATAATAGACTAATAAGAGAAGAGTGAAGTTTGACCAGTAATTTTCATTCATGGGTTTAAAGTTGGACAAATATATCATGAGTTTTAATCTTATATCTATCCTAGAAACTAACTCAGTGGTTTAATGACTTTAACATCCATTATTGAGCATCAAATACTAGTATTGATGTGATTTAACAGATGTTATAACTATTAATTTAGTATTTAATAAATCAGTTTTATCATTTTTAAAGATTTATTCCACGGAAATGAAGCCTGTACCTATAAAGTCATATAAATAATTACTTACTTGTTTGGGATTAATTAAGACCACTAATTAGTTGTGAAATTCAACAAAGAATCTTGTAGCTAAAGCAGTAATTTTCTTTTAGAAATCCTTACAACCGCCGGTTAAAATTCAAATCCGACAGAAATGGTCTACATTTGAAGTCGATTAAACATTGAATTGAACCGCGAACTTGGACTAAGATTAATGTTAATGCAAGAAACCTAGTAACTTACGGAAGGTAACTGAAAATAGTTTAATGAACAGAATCATTTGGGGCACCTTGAACAGCCTAACAAACAAGAACATTTCATGCCAAGAAATGATTAATTAAACAAAAAGGGATTAGTTTAAACTAATCAACTTGAATACAGCAAGAGAGCATTGAGAAACATTCTAAAGGCGAGGATGGAATAATTAGGGTTCCGTGGATTGGAAGTATGAGTTGGGCATGTAAAGCCAACCTCTGGCTTCGACTATGGTTTCTGAGAATCATCCCAAAAGCTAGACAGCTTGCATGGGGGGTTGGTAGGGAAGAGGGGGTTTAGGCCTTTCTGCACTTGTAATGAAATAGATGGTGAGATGATTTTGTGGTGCTTATTTTACTCTTCTTATGGAAAAAGAAAAAGAAAAGGTCTCTGTTTTATCAGAATTGTGAATTTGTGAGTTTTTAAGAAACAAAAATATCCTAGATTTTAATGACATGTGTAAAATGGCTTGTTTGGAAAAAAAAAATTTAAAGAAATAAAAAATGGGTTTTTTTTTTTAAAAAAAAGAAAAACCCAAAAGAGGTTAAAAAATATGAAGAATTGGTAAAACAAACAGCCTTAAAACTAATGGAAGAAGCCTACCGAGGGGTCAAACATGTCCCCAGCAGCCAATGCATGCACCCTTACAACTCGAAAAAGGCCCTAAAGTTTGCTTTTGACGGTATTATCTTCTCCCTTAAGTTCTTATATTATATACGTGTATAGATACACTTCTCTGTTTCCTTTTAATAAAATAGTCTCACAACAGACTTTCTAGGCTTGAAAGAGGTATGAACAATCAACAAAAATATTTGATAATACTTCATATATAAAAAGATATGCTTTCTTTATTTTTTGTAAGGTGGCATCTGATGGAGTTAGGTGCGCTGTATAATTGTTTAATTAACTCCTTTTACTTAATTAATTAGTTATTGATTTGATAAAGAGTTCTACTAACAGATTCAATGGCATTATCTAATTTCTTGTAAATTCATGGATGTTTTTATTACATCCAAGGAGAGTGAGAGAATTTTGAATTGAATTGTCAAAGTGTTTTGCATGGTTTACATGCTAAAGGTTGGTTGGTTAGTCTCCTATCAAACTATTAATTAATGAAAGTTTAATTTGAGCTTGGAAATAGAAAGTTTAGATTTCTTCAATAATGAAGTAAGAAGTCAGGGCACGTCTACAATACCAATCGAAGTTGTTGTGCCCCTTTCATAACCATTTTAAGACAATGTTTGGATGGTAGTGGGATGTTTGGCAAAGCCGAAATGCCAAACAACAATTTTATATCCCATTATTCCACAAGTTATGGACACCTTCATTGAACCAAGAAGGTAGCACATTTGTTCCTCAAGTGGGCTAGCAGCTCGTATATAACTGATCGAAACTAAGAAAAATGAAAATGAAAATCTAAGGCAAAATGATCTCTGAAGTAAAAAAATTCTTCACGAAATTATGCCAAACAAGCCCTTAGCTACATAGCTTATTATGAACCAGCAACAGCCATCATTAGTGGACATCACGTGATATTCCCAGTTGGATCACTGTAGATGAAAAGCAGCTAATTGTTATATATTTGATTAACACACAAGTTGTGCACCATGAGAGGACAGTAAAAAAATCAGGAGCAGCAAAAAAAAGTCAAAAATAAAAACGAAAATCAAGTAAAATATCCCTTCGTGTCCCCAATAAAACTCTAATTTCCTGTAAATTAGCATGCAATTTGGATTCACGGTTGCTTCCAAGAGTCATTTTCGTTCATCGGAGAAGAAACTGCGGTTGCGGGGAATTCCAGGGTCTCGGGCAAGAATATTTTCCCTCGGCACTCTGAATGGACTTCGAAGAACTCGCTTGCTTTTCCTTTTCTTTTTATTAATTTAAACATTTTCACTGTTACATTTTCTTTTTATGATCTTAATTTCTATGACTGAATTTCAAAAATTGTTTTTTTTTGTGACAGAGAAAAAAATAATAGTTGAAAATTAGTAATTTTTTTAGTATTTTCAGAATTTCCTTTTAAAAACTATTTTTAACCAAAATGGAAACAAGAATATTTTGTATTTTTGAAAGATTCTGAAATTCTATTAAATGAGATTAATTATGAAGAAAATAAATTAGAAGAGATATCAAAACATACAAATTATCTTATTACCAGTGAAAACAGAAATACGTTATCAGTTTATTTTATTTTTTAAAAAATTTGAATAAAAAATTTTAAATTCTTAACTTCTAATTTTTTTAAAATTAAAAAAAGTTTACCAACGTCTCAAAAACGGAAAGGAGACAAGGATGCCGAGTCCTATGACATGTTTTGGAACAAATTTAGCGGTGCAAAGCGACACGAGCGCTTTGGGAATGGCAAACCAAACGATAAGTGACTTGTGAGCTGTCAGCTCCCCGGATTCTCTACTGCAAAATAAGATATTTAAAAAACGCCCCGAATCACTTCAAAGTTATCTTTCCACCCCCCACCTCGCTATAAATCGAAGTGCACCTCTCTCCTTCCCTCCACAGCAGCCCACATCCACCTAATTCTCTCTCTACCCAAGCAAATAGTGCACCCCCGCCTTCCCTCTGCAGTTCACATCCACCTCATTCTCTCTCTACCCAAACGCCTATGGGAGGCAACAACAGGCAGAGCAAGTCCCTGTTCTCCATTTTCAACATCTTCAAGTCCAAGAGGTCGACTCGCCGAGGCGACGACTACTCGGGGGATGACTCAGTCAAGCGCTACAGGGTCTGGCCGAGCGACGAGGACCGAGACCGCTGGGTCGCCGAGTACGACATTGACCGCAAGGCCTCTGCCTACATTGCCATGCGACGTGCCGCCACTAAGATCGACGACGAATAGAGGCTTTCAAAACCGTAATAGTTGGCTCACCACCGGTGTGCTGTTGTTCAGTTGGTCCTTCTAATTACTATTAGTTAGTGAGTGTGAATTGCAGAATAAATGAAGGACTGAAATAATAGCAAATACGTTGTTTATATATTCTGCTCTCTGACCTGCCTTTCCTCCCATCTCGTGGGCTGAATTAGCTAATCAACACAGACACAGACACAGACACACATATATATAGTCATCAAACACAGCGCTCGATTCATCTTCTTCGTCTACTCTCGCTCTCTCTCTCTCTCTCAAGTGTGTTTGCCATGAAAACCAGCTTATATATTAAGGAAACTGCATGAGGGGAAGAGGAACGTTAGGGACTATGTAAGGCACGCAGACCTGCAGTGTAAGAGCTGAGTTGATAATGCTATGGTGTGCTTGTTTGGACATAATGAATTAGCAAGTGCTTCTTCAGATTTTCCTCTGGCGATTGCTAATTTGTTCCCATGATTTTACTTTTTAAATGTTGCCAAGAACCCTTCCAACTTTTTAGGTTTCCTTCTTTCCACTTTCCTAATTTTCTTAATTAGCAATGAAAAGTTGAAAAATCTATGATGTGTACAGGGGGAAAAACAAGGGGAGGGGAGCGCACACAGCGGCTATTGAATTCGAACACACCCCCCTTAAGACCATGCAGGGGGCTTAGATCCAATGGTCATGAGTGCGCTGCTCCAGTGGGTGCGCACCCAGGATTAACTACAGGGGGCTTAGATCCCATGGCCATGAGTATGCTGCTCCAATAGGTGCGCACCCAGGATCAACTACACTGGAAGAGGAGGAGAGTAAAACTTGAAAAGCTAAAGCTATCATGAATGTACTTTCTTCATAGATCCCGTGGCCCTTTTCGCGTTTTTCTTGGTGTACGAAAAATCATGAAAATTCCAACACGTTAACTTGTTAATTGACGTTCAGATGAGAGAATAACATATAATGTAATATAATAAATTTAGATAAATTTATTTAGATTGAATAATTTTATTTCGGAAGGAAAAAGATATAATATAATATAATAAATTTGGATAAATTTATTCAAATTGAATAGTTTTATTATATGTTTGGTTTAACATTTAATAATTAGAATAAAATTTTTTAAAAATAGAATAAAAATTTGAATTTATTAAAAAAATCCTTTCTTATATTGGTTAAAAAAAAAAACCAAGATCCAGCTAGCCCACCGATCGGATCACATGATGGAGTTAGCCAGCCCACCGGATCGAATTGCCATTTGCGTCGGCGGTAGCGGTCTAGTCATCGTCCTCCCTCTGCGTCGTCGGTGGTGGCCTAGTCATCGTCCTTCTAGCTGGATTGGTTGTCCGATGTCCTTGTCAGGCCACGAGCGTCAGCGGTCATCGTTATCCTCTGCGACACAGTCATCGTTGTCGTCAGCCTCGAGCGTCGGTAGCCAGTTGTCGTCCTCCCTTTACGTTGTCATCGGTGGCCCAATCATTGTCCTTCAAGCCGAATTGATTATCTGGTGTCCTCGTTGGGCCATAAGCGTCGCCGATCGTCGTCGTCGTCGGGCCATGAGTGTCGGCAAGAGTCGTCGTTGTCCTCCCTTTGTGTCTTGTCGATGCCCAGTCATTGTTGTCCTCCCTCTGCCCCGACTCCCTCCATTTTCACAACGTGAAGGGGGAGAACAAGCAAGGGCATTGTCGTCCAAAATTAAATCTTATCAAGGGGGATAAATTTTATCCCCGAACCGTGTGATAAATTATCTGGCCAACACAGATATATATCCTTATCCGATTCCGTTACATGACAATCGAACGCATGATAAATTTGATAAAATTATCCTTATCAGTCTTACCGAACAGGACTAGAAAAGGGTAAACAAAGTGATTAATTAAAACATTACTAACATAAACTTAGTGAAAAACTAAAGAATTCGCATTTATCCGTGTGGGAGTCGACCTGACAAGAAGTAATTTTACTTTTTTACAACAACATTTTTTGTCACCAAAAATCATAAAATTTGTTACTAATAGGATTCTCAACAAAATAAAAAAAAAAAATGTCACTGTCAGCTTGATTGCACTATGTTTGTTGCCAAATGCTCAGGTAATTGACATCGATTTCATTCCCTGTATTCTAGCATCGCGAATATTATCTCTTTTGTTGATAAAAAATGGGTAAACAATTAATTTTATGCCGAAAATACATTTATTTTGTGAACAAGATAGTTGTTGTTAAATATTTCTTTGTGAATTTTGTCCCCCGTATTTAGAGATAATTTTTAATGTGATCAGTAATTAAATATTTTGTTACAAATTGTGTAGTTTCCCATCAATTTTTTTTATTTGTAAAAAATTTTATACAATAAAAAACCTTTTTCACAAGCGGGATGGGACCATCGGGGACTGGCTTTAATACCATTTACCACGGCTCTAATTCTGTCTCCCCACCATTTGATGTGGCTTTAATATCATTTACCACGGCTCCACTTCTGTCTCCCCACCATTTGATGTGGGATCTATTCCTCAGGGAAAGAGTCCATTATCCTCTTATCTTCACGTACATCTTTTTGATATTTAGCATCCCTACTTATAACCCATTCATCCCTTTCTCTACATCTGATGTGAGTATGTGATACAAACATTTTTTGCTACTTAAAGTAGTAATGTCAACAAAATATTTTGTGCACCAATTGAGTTATCATTTGCCTATAATTAATTTTGTACGTAAATAACCAACCCATTTGTGTATACTAAATTTTTGTTGCCAAACATACTAGATTCAGAATAATGTGTTTTGTTGCCTAAGAAGAAGCAAAAGCTAAAAAAATATATATTTTGTATAAAATAATACAATAATTAGGTATGTTAATCTTTGTTGCAAGTGTATCAAAGTATTTGCAATAACATATTGTGTATCAACACATACAGAGAATAAAAAATTTTGCTACTAAATATATAATGGTTAGGTACAAAATTAATTTGTATTCAAAAGAAATACTTTTTTATCAACAAAATAACTTGTTGTAAATACTCTCTAATGTGTGCCAACAAATTTTTTTTCCTAAATTGGGTATGGAGCAGAAATATTCTTTTGATAATAAAATATGTTCTATGTCACAAAAAGTTGTTCACTAACAAGTATAATTTTTTATTACTAAAACCTAACTAGTGGCAACAAATTTGCGATTGTACCTTAAAAAATGTCGCACACCTTTCATTTCTTTGTAAACGTCCTTATAAATCATGCTATAACTGTTAATATGCTCTTCCGTAGCTAAAGAGCTGCTCTTTAGTAAAAATTCGAACATGCATATTTAGCCAATTCGGGTTCCATTGCAGAGCTCCTTCGTTGTCCTTCTAGGGTTTTCAAGGCAAGAAATCTCATCCAGTTGTTAGCAACTCTCAATGATGAAAATTAATTATTTTCTCAATTTCTTAATTACCCATTTTAAAAGAAAATCCTACAAAATGATAGTGGGATTCTCTCATTCTCCCTTATTTTCATCTCATATTTCTGTTTGGGTGGCTTAGACTTTTAACCGTATTTGAGCAATACCAATGGAGAAGCATAAATTGGTGGAGGAGGATCAGTATCCAGACATGGAAGAGCAAAAAGCAACATTTGCGTCTTCTTCCTTTGGCTTTTTTGTCTAGCTGTATAATTAAAGGGATGGCCATCTAAAATCGCGAAAGGGCTTTTTCTTTTCATGATCACTTTTGGGTTTTCTGCCCAGCACCATGTGCTGTCATGAACCATTGATGGTTTTAAGCCCCCAGAATTCTCCCCGCACTAAGCTATTATCAGCCTTTTGGCTTTATTCAGGCTTGGCAGTAACTTACGTAAGAAGTTGTCCTATTGCACAACTGAAGAGAAAGATGTTGTAGACTCCATTTCAGAAAGGGAATGCTCGAAAAATACTGATGCAGTCTTCACTTAACTAAGTAAATGTTTGAAAATTCTTGTTAAAAACCTGAGTTGAAATCGTTGGATTTTTTAAATTCACTTTCTAGGTTGGTAGGCAATGGTTTGGTTGGACTTGGATGTGAGGATATTGCTTTTAGACGGGTTTGGCAGGCTGGTGGATCTTTAGCTAGCCAGTTTTATAGATATCACACTTTTTTAATATAAAATAAAATGTTGGCTTTCTTTTATAAAAATTGCACAAAAAAATCACGTTTAGCCCTTTCAAAAAATTCTTAAAAAGCTTTCCAAGAAGCCTATACGCCCTTACAAGCATTTTTGCAAAATAAAATTGTATATATTTCAAAAAAAATTGACTTTTAATGAAAAAATAGCACTTACACATCATTTATTTAAGTGACAAAAATTATACAATAATAAGAAACAAATTATTTCTCCAAATCTTAATTTTTGTGAACTGGTAAGTAATATATAAGGTTGTTAATGAATTAAATTTTAATCTAAATTTAACCTAAATTCGATCTGAAACTTAAGATTTGAATTCAATTAAAATATTTGATATATCAAATATAATTATAAATATCCGTAATTTAAAATAAATTAGTCAGACATGAAAATAAGCAATCCAATTCATTACGGATATGATTTTGAAATTTAATAATATTTTTAATTAAATTAATAATCTAATATATATAATATTAATAAAATTCAAAGTAATAGAAATTAAATTGAGAAAATTAAAAAATTTAATTACTAATATGATTGATAAAATAGAATATGAAAAAATTAAATATAAAAAATAATTATTTTCTTGATAGATTAGATTTTTTTTTATATTTTGAATTGTCTATCAAATTTAGATATGAATTAACAAATATAAAATTCATAAAATTTTAAATCAAATTCAAAAATAATAATAATTAATCAAATTTAAATTAATTTAATATAATAAATTTTTAAACCATATTTAAAAATAATAATAATTAATCAATTTTCAATTAATCTAATATAAATCCAAACTATTTAAGCCTAAAAGTACACATATATATTATTGTCTTATGTCTCTGGACCTTTTGTTGCGTTCGTAC